AATGGGTTTTCCTAGCAAAAATATGGTGAAATATATGTAGTACGGCGTGCAGGCGGTATCAGTCTTTACTAGCTGTTTCTACTTAAATATATTGAGGACATTTTATTCAAATATATAAGAGAGGCGAAAGATACTAAAGGGACATTCAAACTCATAAGTCGAAAATAAACTGACAACGCCATGGTAAAAAAGAAAATAGACAAACAGACAAACAACAGTACACAAAACACAACATAGAAAATTAAATACTGAGCAACACAAACCCCACCAAAAACTGGGGGTGATCTCAGGTGCTCCTGGATATTGGACACAATTGATAAAAGATGTCAAGTTTGATTTTAACGATATCCAGGTTTGCTATAGTTTTGTTTTTGTTTTAAAAGAATTGATAAAAGATGAAATTATGATAATTGAGCATTGCTTATTTTTGTAAATTGCAAAAAAAAAATGGAGGAAGTGCATGTTTTCAAACGTATGTATTTATGATTAATAATGTTTAATTTTGAAATACTTTTTTTTTGCAATTTGTACATGTGGCACATTTCTTCGTCTTTTTTCAATGGAAATTACTTTTGAGGGAACTAATAACTTTCTATACTGTAACTTCCGAGAAATGGAAGTTATTGTACGACATGACGTCAATGAATAGAAGTTGTAGTACAGGCTGGATCCTCCCCATAAACATCTTTACGATTTGTAAAAGGCTAGTTTCATAGACAAACACATGAAACCATGACACAAGTCCAGTTTTCAGGTTAATAACATGATATATCGGTAATATGTGTGCATTAGCTTCAGTTGTAATAAATCTGAAAATCAAGTATACTTTTTTTTAGTTGTTAAGAATGAATGGTTGTCTTTGCTGAATTGCAGAACCAAATTTTAAAGCATAATCAAAACGAACTTGTCGTGATATTGACATTTTAGTAGGTATAATATATGATAGTTGAATATCACAAGGGGTTATGTTTACATAATATAAATGTAAGTATTTACTGTATAGCAATTGTACACTTACTTTGTATGATTTTATCTGAAGTCAGGTAAGTACTTAAAGTATTTAATGGTGAACATTCATTTAAAACACCCCTTCTTTACATGATTTTTTTCGTTCAAGTAACCTTTCCATATTGTACATGAAAATGTTTAAACATATATCTTCTTTATGTACCCTTCAATTTTTCAATAAAACAGATTTAAAGGGGCAAGGTTTAGTGCAAAACAAAATAAACTAGTTTATTCCCTGCACATACGTATTTGTGTGTCCATAATCAGGAGCATCGTCAGTGGTTGTCTTTAGATAGATATTGATTATTTGTGTTCTTCAAGCTTTAGTTTTCTATTTGGTGTTTCGTGATCTGATATTTAAAAACTGTTCGCCTTTTTCTTTTGACCATTTCTTCTTGTTTTTATGGTGTTTGGTTTCTTGCACGCCTGAAAACATATTTAAAAGAGGGACGAAAGATACCAGAGGGACATTCAAACTCATAGATCGAAAACACACTAACAACGCCATGGCCAAAAATAAAAAGACAAACAGACAAACAATAGTACAGATGACACAACATAGAAAACCAAAGACTAAGCAACACGAACCCCACCAAAAACTGGGGGTGATCTCAGGTGCTCCGGAAGGGTAAGCAGATCCTGCTCCACATGTGGCACCCGTCGTGTTGCTTATGTTATTACAAATCCGGTAAATAGTCTGATTCGGTAAGTCACATTCGTGAAACGGGAGGGTATTGCAGTTACGACATAGGGAACATATCCGATATCATCTGTGAAACGGTTATTCCATAACGGTCAACCAACTCGTGATGGCGTCCGAAAAATTTACGAAGAGATGATTTCAACTTCACCATTTGGAACTCTTGGTTTAATAGCCGCCACATTCTGTATGTGGCTCTCCCAAGTCAGGAGTCTGTTATTCAGTGGTGCTCGTTTGTTGCTGGATTTCTTATTTTTATTTTCGTTTTTTGCTTTATAAACGAATCAGGACGTTGGCTTTTTCGTTTGAAGTGTTTTACATTTTGTAACATTGGGGTCTTTCATAGCATGCTATGCTGCATAAGTTTTGTTTATTGAAGAAGGACGTACGGTGATATAGTTGCTCTCTGATGGATAGTTGTTTCATTGGAAATCATACTATGTCTTCTTATTTTTATATTTTATATTTGAATATTTCGGAATAACTTTTATTCCAGGTTTATTTAACCAAATGGAGGCGATGCCTATATTTGGAAAGGAGATGAGGGAAAAGGAGTTTTCTTTGAAGGAAGGGGTAACATTCATAAACCACGGATCTTATGGGGTAGTTCCTAGACGAATAAAGGAAGCGCAAACAAAGTAAATGTAGCATTTGTTTTAATGTGAACATGAACGTATTGACAATTCAACTTTGAAAATCATATTCATATTAAAACAATTTTAGCACAAATATGGTTTCCATAAATTATACTTGCGTGCCATTTAAATGTTTGGGTTCACATGGAGAAGAAATGTGTTTCTCCGAGAAGAACGCTAATTGGTCCGCTGCTTTAATTTCAGCATCCATGAATAAATTATATACAATTTCGAACATAAGGATTTATAAGAGATAGTCTGCATCTCAATAATTCCACTAAATTTCAAATGTTTTAAAATATACAACTGACACAATGAAGTCTGCTTTTTGCCGAACCATTGGATGTCAATTATATCAAAAATAAATGTAAACAAAGCTGTGTGTCAAACATTGTGTTTTCAATTTCCACAAAATATCTGTTATATTTCTTAAGCAGAAATATACATTTGTCTTCTGTGTACGTTTGATTTTTTACATTTAAAGGATATACGCTTTAAATTATCTGTATCTATTCGTCGTTTCAGATTCTAAAGGAATATGGGTAATTGCTTTGTTCTTTACCATAATGAAAATAACGTCATTGGTTGAATTGTTATTGCTTAGGACGTTAAAAGCAAACCACAACGTTTCGGTGTATACTCTAGAAAATATTACTTATCAAAGAGGTTGTATACCAATCCTAAGTAAATATTTAGTAAAGGTTTAAAACAAATATATAAACGTGGAAGTGAAAATAAACGGAATTGCATGGACTCCAGACAGAGTCGGAGACATTTTGCATCGACAGTATAACACACGGAATACATTGAAAAAGAAGGGAAAACTGCTATCTTTTGTTCAACACGATCATAGTTACATTCTAATAAGGTTGATATTATCGCTGTCAAGAAATTTAATTGTTTCCATCATTGGTTGATGTAACACCAATACACTTTGATTGTGCAATGTATTTTCTTAATTAGTGTCGTAATGATTCAGTCGGAACTGATTAAGATCAATACGCGGTATTCACAAATAGTTGCTTTGACCGATGCCTATAGAAAATGTGCTTCATGCGAAACAGGAAAAACTCATAATCCCCTCTCCCAGTTGATATCATTGAAACTTTTATCGCAGAAACATCGGTTATCATCATGTCAATTGGTGTTTGCTGTCCTTATTTATCTGTGTTGACTGACTATGAACTGTTGTGTGAATTCTAAGAAAAGACAAAACAATTTTGATACAACTTAGACATACTGATTTGATCCAAGAGGTTACAGTGCAGATATATATATATGTATAACAGACAGCAATTTAAAACAAATGCAATGTATCTCATGCTTTATATAACAAATACAACGAAATAGATCTTCATAGAAAAATACATTAACTTTTTTAAAAGTTTAGTCATAAGTGCAATTAATAGCAGTTAACTAACACATCTGAGATATAAGACGCAAATTTAGTTCTCATTTGTATACTTATCATTTTATGTCATATTTTATCTACAAAACGAATACAAATATTATTAATAAAAAGGCTTAAGCTATTTCTTTGAATGTCTATTTGATGTATCTTTTTTACCGTTTTTATTTCTAAACAGGAAAATTGAATGAAAAATATATTGTTGCACATTAATTTATCGAAATACCAAGTTTCGAATTTAAAAAATGGCTTTCTAAAACAATCCGGTATTGTCGCATAAAATGAAGAGAAAGTTGTTACTATTAATGGGGAAAAATCGCCTTAAAAGACATGAAACGTATGCAAGATTTCCAAAGATTTTTTGCACTTTAGAAATGGATTTAATGTCGGTATTATTTGTGCTCTAAAATGCATTTTCACGTGTTTTAGAATTGTAGATGAAATGGACAGTTCACCAGATTTATGGTTCCGAAGAAATAGGAGAATAAAACAAGACGAGGCAAGACATTGTATTGCAGAATTTGTTCAGGCTGATCCAGACGATTTAGTGTTTGTCCAAAACACAACATCAGGTTCATATACATTACATTAGAATAACGATTATACCTAATTCTTCAGTTAAGAAAATTAAGTTATTAAACCATAATAATTTCCATATCATTTAATTGCATATCATATTTTGATTAAAAAACATAATTTAGGGTTAAAAACTGTAAAGAAATTATTTGTTGATAGGAATGCACGGAGTAACTTAGCTCACAAACATTTTCTGAATAAAACAAATCGTTTTAGGTGTAAATACAGTACTAAAGTCAATGAAACTGAGACCAGAAGATATCATCTTGTATACTGACAATACATATCGTGCTGTCATAAACACATGTGAAGCGACTGCACAGTTCTCTTATATTGCAGGTAAAATAGTACACATTTATTAACTGAAATAAAGGATAGATAAATAATGCTTTATCTGTTGAAAGTTCCATTATTCTATGTTTGCCTGAGACACTAGATACGGCTGCAAATATTTTTTTTGGTTGATGGTTTCATAAAGTACTATTTTATCAATACTTTAACAACAGTCTGTGGGTTATGTATTATGTATCATCCCAAGTTTAACTTGCATATAATAACGTTTGGTTTCAAATTGCTGTGTGAACAACATGGGTTGGAATGACGTCCATCAATAACGTTCAAGACCAAAATTTTGCTGAATCAAATATTTGCATCAGCTTAGTTTTTGAAACTGACAAAAAACTTATCATATTATATATTTTGATATACATCCAGAAAATATTAATGTCAACATAACATCAAAACTACTTGACGATATTTTTGGAGAGAAAAGAATCATAATGACTTATTAAAAACCAATTCCTATCCGGTGTTGAACAGTGCGTGATTAAGAGCTATTAATTGTTTTCCTTAGGCATTGATTTGGCTTTCCTTTATGGAGAGTACCTAAAGATTTTAAATATAGAAATAGCTATCCTATTTTCATTACTTTAATGTCATCAAAGATACCAGCCTTCTCAATCAGAAGTATGAATTTATCTGTACTGAGAGAGTGAGCAGTTTTTATTTAAAGAACATAAACTCTCAGAAGATTTGAACATCGATAAACTATAATGTTGTCAATATTGATATATTTTCTGATTTATTTGATATTTGTGTTAGGTGTTCGTGCAGACTTTTTAACACTACAGTTTCCAATTAACAGCGAAGATGAAGTAGTTGAAATGTATAGGGAATATTTTAAAAAGCAGCCAAATGTGAAAGTAGCTGTACTGGGTTTGTTGATTATCTTAAACATATTTTTGAAATATTCAGTACTATACTGTAATAGGGTAAATAGTCGAAGTATCGAAACAGACCGAAGAGGAGACCAAAAGCAGTAGAGCATTACCTCGTTCCCATTATACATGTTTAATAGAAAAGAAAGGATATGGGGTATCCATCCATGACAAAAAAAATGCACACCACAAAAACAGAAAAAGCAAAGGAATAGCGCTTTTAAAGCCGTTCTTCATCTTTTAAGGACAGAGAGCAAATAGTAGATGAAAGAAAAAGGCAAATTCTTCCATTTTGGCTTGAATATCTGGATGACAATAAACATAATTATAATTGCTAACAAAACTAAATTGCTTGAGTGAACAACGAAAATAACACTTATTTACCTCCATTTTGTACATCACTAAAGGTCTAATTCAATTTCTTTGAATTTCTAACTCACCTTTCTTTATGAAGTTTTGTTTCCCCAAAACATCTCACAATAGGCACACCTGTTTCTTTTACAGATCACATTACTAGTCAATCAGCCATAAGAATGCCTTTAGAAAAGTTAATACCTTTGTGTAAAGAATTTGGAGTAATGACATTAATAGACGGTGCCCATGCACCAGGACAAATACCCCTTAATCTGAAGGAGCTCGATGCTGATTTTTATTCAGGTAAAATATTAATATGCGTTTGCAAAATAAGTTTACAAAGCAAACACAATATGCGAAGATAAACGTTAAAAACATTACTGGTCGAGGACCAGTTACCAGTTACCGTCACCTTGCATTTTATGCAACAAAGGACGTGTTGTGTAAATACGGCTTACTGTTATTATCTTCATACAAAAACTCTTGTTTTATTTTTTAAAATATGGTCTTGTTTGATCCAATCAAGACACGGAAATTCTGATTTTTTTTTTTCTTTTATCCCGTCATGGAAAGATACGCGTGCATTGACATGAAGTCATCACTTATGACGTCCTCGATTTTAGAAAACTGCCCGTTTTCAGAAATAGAAAAAACAAAGTTTATTTTGGAAAAAAAACCATCCCTTTCAATGCAGTGTTACTTGTTGATTTCAGGTGACATAAATTCGAGATCAGTTCAGATTGAGCGAAAGTCCAAGAGATTTGGAATTTATGGACGGAATGACGATAATGTTGGATCATTTAACAAACCTCCTTCTCTTTTTGCCTCAAAATAGCAAAATCTGACATTAATTTTCAAATTAACAGGAAATATCTTTAATTTAGTATCTATATTCACTGGTAAAATTCAAGAAAAATCGGCACATTAGTAACCCGCTTTTTGCTATTCATAGGAGGAATTAAAGTCCGAGTCTATTGTCCTAGATCTAAATTTTGGTAACTCTTTCCATATACAAAGAATATTTCCAAAAGCATTTCCTGTTGAAAGTTATTTAAGAAAAACTGCGAATTTCTGACAGTTACTGGTACAGAAACAGTATAGAATATCCAATCTGCTAATTCCAAATTGAAAAAAAAATTAAGGAACCTCCGAACGACACAATAATTAACGAAGGCGTACAGCGCTTCAGTAAAATATCGCTATTGTAAGGTAATGTGTTGACTAGTTTTCAATATTTGAATTTTTTAATTAAATCTTTTTTGTTTTAATTATAACTACTTTTAATATAGTTAAAGTATTACAAGCAAGGAACCACATTTATTTTTTCGTGTTCACACATTTTGTTCCAACGTTATTTTACTTTTTTTTTGACAACGTCTTAGCAACGCCCAATATTGTATGACGTAAGAAGCGTGAATTAACAGAGTTTATTTCACACATGAAATATCGCTTTTTTTATCTCTCAATATAGCAAATCACGGTATTTCCATGCAAACAAATGCATTGTAATAAACGTTATGTTGTACTCACGTTGCGTTGAAATATTTTAATGTTTTACTTTCAACGAAACAATGGCGTAAAATTAATACGACAGTACGGATTCAACTAACAACATTTTTCAAATATGTCAATTATTTCTAGAATTGGTATAACTTAAAATTAACAATCTAATTTAGTGTTTAGTTACTAAACATGCTAAATGGTTACGTCACAAGATTTACATTTCTGCTTATCATGAAATACCCATTTGATGAACATTGAGATGAGATATAGCTGTATAGATTAAATGGAAATTAAAAGCATTTTAGTCTGTAGTCTTGCTTTTTTTCTTAAAGTCAAACGGTAAATATTAAGAAATTGTTGGTTTTATTAAATTCTCAAGTTATGCCTGTCAATGTAGATTCGTTTTTGTCTAGGTCGACTGTTGTGAAATTTTATTGATAAGGAGTATTTCTGATGAAACATCAAACATATAAATCGTTTCACAAATGATGTGTCATTTTTAGATTCAGGTCAACTAATATCCTTGTACTTTTAAAAAGTATATAAATACCATCAAACAGGATTTTAATCAAAATTGATGTTATTGCATTTTACTTTGATAAACAGATAATGACTTAATATATTTCCAAAGTTTCGTCACATAAAAGATATTGCGTCATGCTTAAAACCTAAAATAGTGTTTGGTTAGTTATACTCGAAATGTTTCAATGCAATAGACATAATTATATTAAATATAGTGATAGTGTAATTAAAATTACTTAACATAATTAAATATATGTAAATCTAGGAATTGAGAAATTATGGAACTGTCACACATGTTTTTGAGAGAGAGAGAGAGAGAGAGAGAGAGAGTAAATAAATGTGTCACTCTCCTTTTGCTTCATCTGTTGTGTCTCTGATTTGAAATATATGTACATATATATAACGATATATTTTGACATAGATAAAGCGATGTATTCCTTTATATCTAACTAATATATTTGTTTAGGAAATCTTCACAAGTGGCTATATACCCCTCGAGGTTGTGCGATATTGTATGTGAAGAAGAAGCATCAAGATTGGGTTAGGCCAACTGTGACATCACATGGTTATAAAACCACTTTTCAAAATGATTTTTTCAAACAAGGAACACGTGATGATAGTCCATATTGCGTTGTACCGGAGGCAATACAATTTTATACAGATTTAGGAGGCTACGTAAGTTAGTCTTTTAAGGTATTAGCTGTAAATTGTTTTCTTACAAAAAACGATGCATTTTTGTATGTAGTCTTTCAATATTCTGATTTACGAAACATACGGAAAAGTTCCTCATTAACATTTACAAACGAAACCTGTTTCTAAATTATTTACATAAAATTTATCAGCAAAGCTTCGAAGTTATTGTGAAGCTATCTACTCTAGGGACGGTGTGATTCAGATTCAGATTCAAGGAGTTAATTTCAGTAGTGACGCAAAATGGAACAATCATATTGATAGTATAATTACAAGTGTAAAGAAACACTTAAATGTTTTGCGTAAACTTATATACCGACTATCTCGAAACAATTTAGAAAAACTGTACTTAGTTTTTATTCGACCCATTTTTCAATATGCCACGGAAGTGTGGGATAATTGTGAAATATGCTATTCACATAAATTAGAAAATTTGCAATCAGACACCGCAAGAATTGTAACCGGTCTACCAATATTCACTAAAACTGAAACCTTATACTCTGAGGTTGGCTGGGAATCTCTTTTTTAAAGAAGAAGGAGAAGAAAATTACAGATGTTTTAGAACATGAACCAAAAACATGCACCAGAGTACATGTGTAATCTTGTACCTCCATGTGTACAAAGTACAACCACTGAACTATCCGTTGCGAAATGGTCATCATATTATTATTCCATTTTGTAGACTTTCCCTTACTACTGAATCGTTTGTTCCCTCCACAAAACGTGAGTGGAATAAACTTGATCCAAAAAATCGCAGCGTCGACTCTATTTCTAAATTTTAGGAAGAAATGAAAAACGATAGTCTCCTAAGTAAAGTTGAAACGTTTTATTTGTACGGCCCAAGGAAATTAAATATTATTTTAACGCAATTGCGTAACAATATAAATGATCCTTCTTTCCAATGTGGGTCAGAAATTGAGGATGTTCATCATTACTTCTTCGTTTGTCCAAAATACACTTCATGTAGAAAAACCTTACTCAATAATCTTAACTGGTTCCGAAAACTTCGGAACAGATTTCTAGTACCTTCATAAAGCGTTATTGATACTGACACGGAACATCATCATCTTCGACATCATCATCAACACTAACGTCATCATCACAGAATAATATGACTTTTCAAACTTTCCTTCTTTTTTTTTCTCTCTTCTTTTTTACCTAAAGCTCGTATTATATTCTATAAACTGTTTGCTTTACATGCATGCTCATTATACTATTATTGTATCTATTTATATTGTATTATGGAGAAGACTGCATAACTATGATTTACTTGTGTCTAATCTATTTTGCTTTAATTTAGCAAATAAAATATGTTTAAACTAAATTCAGATGTGAATACTAAAATATTCCAAAGATTTATTATAGATCAAACAATCTAAGTGTATATCCTCTTGCAATAGTATTTAAACATTTGACTTGTCTACCCTTTACACAAGTGTTTCCCATTTCAAACTAAAAGACCAATTGAAATGATTTTGACAAAACTGGCCAGTTCTAAATTATAGAACCATTCTTTAAGATAATGGCATACGAATATATTTCGTATGACAATTCAACTTTGTAATCCCAAAATTACGTGCCAAACGGTTTTGTCTAAAATATTTTGATCACGGACCTAATCATAAAAGAATCTAAAAAAACATCCATTACTTTTTGACAGAGAAATTGATTTGGAAATAGTAGAAATGAAATAATAGAAATACACACAAATATTTCTATTCAATTTAATTAACCATTTCTGTTTTGTCTTGTGCCTTTCCTAAAGAAATTAGTTGACATCTGAGGTTTAAGATGTTTTAACGACTGAGAGTTTTTCAACCTATATATATATATATATATATATATATATATATATATATACGAAAATGTATGATTCAAAAACGTAGAATACCTACAAACCTGCAAATTTCTTACAGGAGAAAATAAGAGTTTATACTGACGATTTATTGAACACATCTACAGAATTACTCACTTCTTCATGGAAGACAGAAAAACTACAAATACCAAAATCAATGGAAGCTCCTTTCATGAGATTGGTTCGGCTACCAGAACTTAAGCAAACATCGATGAAAAGTATTGTACGTAAAATTCCATTTTAAATCCTGTAAAAACAACTGTTATACAAACATGCATTCATTTATGTCTGAGCTCAAGTTTACCATTTTCTCTTTGCAAACAGAATGATCTACATCTACTGCATCATTTAATCAAAGTCAAAGCTGATTTTGCGAAAAATGAGCGCCATCAGACTTTAAAAGAAAATCGAAATGTCATACTAACACAATTAGTATCATCAGTTTTTAAACGATATTTTGAGTTGTTATGAAAAGTTTCGCACATGATTTTGTTTTACCACCATTGTCAAATAAAAAAATCGTATCCAAGGAAACAAACGTCTGAATGTTCAATGTGTGAAGCCGATTGAAATAAAACGATAAACAGAAGTACAAAAAGGAGAAAACAATGTGCAAACATGTATACAGATTTAAGACTTTAGGTATATTAACTTTCTATCTAAATATCTTTATGGTATATGCGCATATGTAAAGAGATATAAAGCTGAGCGGCCATATATATATCTTCTTTATAATCATGACAAAGAAAACAAAAATGTTCTGTTTTCTTATGTTTACTAAACTTTGCAGTTCCTTTTTCTGATATGATAATATGATTCAGGTGTTACCAGACGAATTCTCGGAGTTTTGTTTTTTTTATAGATGGATTGTAATGTTTCTTTTATCCGTATAGCTATGTATAATTTATAATTTATGAACAATATTTTCTTTAAAGAACGGATTATTCTGTATGCATTTAATTTTTTAAACGTTTCCTGCATTCTCATACGTGATCACGTGACAGATAATCTAATTGCAAGCATGTTAATTTTATGTCCATAGTATGCATTCCCAAAGCGACTATTCTTCAGTTCAGTTCCCTTCGGAGCCTTTAGCATAAAATTGGTAATCATCAATATTATATTTGTCTCGTGAAGGTGCAATATGTGTTTTAATATTTACAGGATGATGGCGAACGACGTATTGTAGAAATCATCGTAAACCATGGTATAGTTCCGTGTATTACCTTTGTGGACGGTAAAGTCTACTGTCGACTGAGTGCCAATGTTTATAACACAAAGGATGACTACCAGATATTGTGTGACTTAGTACTTAAAATGATTGATAAATAGTATGGTATAGAATAATTTCATATAGAGCTGCGATAGAATTTTTTTTATTATTAATTTTCATTTCATATATTATATATATATATATATATAAAAGGGTCAGTCGTTCGACTGAATCCAAACATATGTGTATCTTCATTTCATACAAATAGTTTTACCCAATCTCCGTTTATATATGTATGAATGGTAATCAGCGGGAGGATTGGGAAATATTTGGGTTAAGGAAATCAATGTTTTCACCTGGAAGAATGATAGAATGAAATAGTTTTTATCTTTCAAAATGTATGGATCAGTCATCATGTTAGGATGGATAGATGCATTTTGGGGAGTATAAATACATTTGGGAATGTATAGATACATTTTTGATGCAGAAATAAATTACATTTTTATTATGGAGGAGGGTCTGTATACAATCCAGGGCACATGGCTACGCCATCCACCTTTTATTTGTGATTGTGTTGCCAAGTTTTTAAGTTTGCTGTATATCGTTTTATGGACTGTAGTTTGTCTGTTCGTCTTTTGTTTCGACAATGATGTCTCATTTCAACTTCGTACTTTATTTGGCCTTTTAAACTTTTTTAGTTCGAGCGTCACTGATGAATCTTTTGTAGACGAAACGCGCGTCTAGGTACAACATTTTTATCCTGGTATCTAACATGAGTTTATTATGAATTTGGATTGTTCCCCTTATTATCTTATCCAATTTTGTTATTTTTGGTATTAAGTTAATTGCCTTAATCTATTATGTTAAATATGAAATAAATTTTATATCTTCAATTTCGAAGACTTTAACATCTCTTATATACTATACAATACCAAATAATTACAAATACAAAAAGAGTACTAGTAATCAGTACTGATGAAGTGTTTTGAGATAACATAATATATGAGCTAAACTCTTTACCTTTTCCTACCCATACCTTAACAGTCCAAGATTTACTAAACCATAACCCTCAACGTATTGACATTTCAAATCATATGATTTTATCTTTTTGCACAAGGGTGATTTTGTTCTTATTTTGATGTATGCTACGTGCCTGAAATATGGTACATTCGAAGGGTCTACTGTACGGACCAAAACCCACCAGGAACGCGCAGAGCTAAACGTCTGGAAAAGAGAAAAGTTTATAAATTCATGTGACAACAGAGGAATTTTAGGCCAAAAATTGAGAAAAAAATTACTTATTGCATGAAATTGGTGGAACCCATTTTAAGATATGCTGCATTTTGAACAATCTCACCTATGACATCCCATACAATACCAAATATGTTTATGCGTTTTAAAAGACTGGCCAGCCAAATTGATGTTACCTTATCAATTTCTCTTTTTCAATATTTACGATATCCAAATAGCATAGTGTAAATCAACTGATCCAAATTTCATATTTTAAGTTGATTGTGTATCAAATTGTTCTTATTATATTTGTGTAAACATAATTTATATAAATGCTGCATTAATAATGAATTAAATGACATTTCATAGAATATTTGCTAAAAGCACCAATTGCAAGTTTTGTGATCATTTCTTATTCTAAGATGTGTTTATCAGCTTAAAACTTTATTCTTGTTTATTTTATAGATATGACTTTGTGATATTTTTATATAAAAAAAGATGAAGCTGTACATTCTCTATACGATACAAATTATAGTGGTTATAGTGTTGAAAGAATACATAAAAACATATTTAACGTTTGTTTAAAATTAATATATTGTCAATGGATTGATTAACATTTGAAGTTTGTTTGAAGTTGGAAGTTTTAACCAATGCATTTCTTTAAAAGTGTGAACGTTTATTTAATAGTTAAATTTTTTCGTTAATTTAAATGCAAACACCCGCTTACATCACTAGTCCAGCCCTGGCCTCAGTGACTTATTTTTTTTTTTTTTTTTTTTTTTGTCACCGAGTCCAGCTCGCCCTCCATTACATTCAATGGTGCAAGCTCCCGGGTAGATTACCCGGGGACGATTGGGACAATGTCAGAGCGTTCAAATACGAAAAATGTATAACAAATGGTAAAACTTGATAAAATAAACAAGTTACATACCTTAAATACTTGTACACTACATGGAAACTCATCTCAACAGGAGGAAATCCCTTGCAGTCGGAGCTGTGGAAATCTTGTTTACATCAGTAACGCTATATTACGGAACGTGACGTTTCTACGCTATATCGTAGACGAAACGAATTCAATGCGTCGATAAAGATTTTCAACGTTTAAACTCGTTAAGTCAACGATTTTGCACCTCATACTTTTAATACGCGGACTTTGCAGGCACTGAATGCTGCTAGTAAATTATGACACTTAAATTATGTGTACCTTCTGTTGTTTAGTTTAGGTTTACTGATTGTGTTTTATTTCCTTCCAAGTTACAACAAGTAGTTATGATGTTATACACAGAGATTTAATTTTCCAAGTACATTGTTTTCTATCAATTTTCCATGACAATATACAATTACGGTTAACATTAAGCAAACTGAATCACAAGCTAATTATTTTTTAATTTTTTTATAAATTCCGACCCCGATTTAGATGAATAAATTTTCTTCTTGTGAATACCAAGCAATAGTTAAAAAAATTAATTGAAATTCTCTCCGAGAATAATTTTAATAGTCTACTTTTCTAATGGTATTATACACTTATTTAATTTTGATCAAGGGATATATGAATAATTATTCAGTCCCATATAAATTATTTTTACACTGATCAATGTTTCCAGATATCCATGTCACAGATGCAACAGCATCTTGAATTTACGATATGATTCACTGAGTTGACTCCAGAAATTGCAAAATTGGCAAGAGTAGCTCGTCGTACACATGATGTGCTCTTAACCATATCCACAACATCTGATGATGTTATATTTTTATGCAGAGATCTTGCATATGCATAACAGACAGCCACGCCGTCTTTTCCATCACGTGCACAACGACCTACTTCTTGCCAATAACTCAAAATAGATTTTGGTGCACCCCAGTGAACCACATTACGAATGTCAGGTATATCGATACCCATACCGAAAGCAACGGTTGCTATTACACATCTGATTTTGCTATCAGTCTTTTTAAACTCCTCTAGAATATATTTCTTTCTATCCTCTGGAATTGCAGAGTGAAACATTTCCACCAAACGATAGTCACCACAAAACCTTTTTTCCCCAAGTTCATCATTGAACAGCAGGAAAATCTCTGCAACTGTTGGGATAGACCTAAAACATACGTCAGTTTATTTTGTTAGGTATATTTTTTAAACATTTGATTGTAAGATAAATATAAGATACACTTTATTTCCAATAGAGGACCAATTTTGGGCATAATCAGTACAGTGATTTTTATATTAAACAATTACAATATAGACAATACACAAGAAAAACAACTCAAAACATGAAATATAAATTGAGTTGATAATATATATATTTGATTGTAGTTGAAATCACCAGCTTTTAGTTTAATTAAAGGCTTAGACCTGATGATAATGTTCACGCGATTTTTATTTTAACACAAACTTTACATATTTAATAGGGAATGCTGAAGAAATTAACCAAGCGAGTTAACTGTATATGTGGATATAAATCATGACTCGCTTTTATATATTATGGATCCCCTTTATAAACAGACATATGTCATTGACTAAAAGGTAACAGAGACATATATAAACGTTAGAATATGGTTAAGATATAATCTTCTTGTAAAATCTTCACTTTTAACCCAACCTCATTGCGGCTCCAAGAAACTCAAAAAAGGAATTTAAGACATTTACCTGCAGAAAATTAGTGTTTTTGGTGACACAGACATATCTCTCTCCAATGAACCCAATAACCACTTTAACTCTATTTCAAAATGACATGAAGATTTCTCCACTTGTAGGTGAATATTTGGTCTGAAATAATTCATTACAATTAAGTCGCCCTTTTTATGAACATTACAGATAATCCTTTCATAATGTTTCGCTCCAATTTTATGTTTTATTTATTTCATGTTAATAATTATAATTCGTTATTTGTGTTTCTGAACGATTTTCTTCTTCAATATGAAAAACTAAAAATAGGAAAAACAGATTTCGTTTAAAAATCGACACTATTTTGGAAATTATTAAAAATTAAGTAATAATATCTCGTGCAAAGCTCTGATTCCTGATTTGGCTATACTTTAGGTCATTTTTTATTTGATTTGCTCTTAAACGTCTGTATATACACAATTAACACATTTTTTTTTCTGACATTCTGGTTTAGAGCGAACTGGAAACGTACCAAGTTGACAATGAACAAATTAATTATTTTCATTTTAATAGATGGTAAATGGTTTTGTTCTCAAACATGCGAGAAAAGCAGAAGGAAGCAGAAGACCACAAATTAAATTATAACACAGGGTTGCTTTGGCGCGGGTTAAATGACAAATTAGACGTACTGCTGTTCGGAACGGAGATGGTCCTGCCATGATACGATTTTGGAAACTGGACTTAGTCCAGTTTCACATTAATCACCATCCAAAATACTTTATTTTGGCCCATAGATTTATAGCAGGTATGTGTATCGTTAATCTGATTAAAAAGGATGCATTAAATTGCAATGTTAAATTGAATGCAGTAAGATATAAAAGTGAAAAACAATTTAAGACCTATCATTCGCTGCTTCAGTAGAATAAGACTTGACGCGGCCGGAATTTCAGTTGAAATATTAACAAGAACTGTCAAAAAAAAGAGAGAAAATCGTCAGTATTGAACTTGACCTCTATTTTTTCATCAGTAACAATAAATTCACATTCAAAAAGCTTTTGAACGAGCGGTTCATATATAAGTTATCGCAAAGAAATAGACAGAGCCGCCTATCCGCCGTACAACCATAATCAATGTTCGGAATTTTCCGTTGAAATTCGTGTTGAAAAATTGTTCAAAAAATAAAGGGGTGATGATTAATTAATGAAGAAATTTCTTATTGTCCTGTCATTTACTGAAAATTTACGAAGACATGGACTATGATTATAGATATTAGTTTTTTAGTCCTAAAAGAGATGGCCAACCATGATAACTTTCCTTTACAGGTGTGAATGGTTTTTTACCCGCAAAATTAAGAGAGGATATGGTTTGGAATCGAACTGTAAATTACACTGGAGGAAGAGGGTCCAATTTGGAAATGGACCTCGTAAACGAGTTTTTAAACAAAGATTTTATAAATTCATTACACATGACGGGGAAAATGACGGACGAAACGATTGACAGACACGGGAAGATAGTAGGCGGACTGAAGAATGAAATTAACAGTATATATGACACCATGACAGGCCAAAGAACATGGCATGCAGTGAGGGGTTGTAATAAAAGACGAACGGACGTACTGAAACTTATTAATCATTTAAAAAAAGAAGATCTATTTAATTATCATGGGGGGCGAACTTATAAATCATTTCAGAAATTTACTCTAAAATCATGTAATTCAATTGGATCCATGTTAACAAAAATTGAAAGATTATCAAAAAAAATAGATAGAAGGAAGCGTATTTTGTAAATTAAATTATTTCGATTTAATGATGTATTGTTTATTTTTTATTGTTACACCGAAGGAAAACAAACAATCTGACTGAATTATAAACATCAGTGCATCAAATAATTATCTTAATTATGATAATAAGAACATAACAAGAACACAAAAAAACGAAAAATCGTGGACGAAAGGAACCATATGGCGCGGAATCAGGGTCAAAAATACTTATTTACGTATATACATAATTCGATATACGTATATACAAAAATAATTACGTATATACAGAAATAATTCCGTATATACAGAAATCGAATTACGTATATACAGAAATAATTCCGTATATACATATATCGAATTACGTATATACAAAAATAATTACGTATATACAGAAATATTTATGTATACACAGAAAGATTTTTGCACATATGTTATTCAAATTATGTATTTACTTATTCCAGAGTATCAGCCAATCAAATCGTATGTAACAGACTTTGTTAATTTTTCTTTTTAAATTTTTGGGGTGGTTTTTTTTTGTGCGGAGATGGAGTAATATAATTAAATAATAACGTCATTGTGTGTAAATTGTTAAAAACATTTTTTTTGTATGAATAAAATGTTATGCTATTCACTCCGATACTATATTCGTTAAGAAAATAGCGGATACAGAGCGACGAACAGATCGGCATTCCTTTCATAATTTTCTAAATGTGTGTGATGGCATAGTTCAGGATGTTGTCCGTTTGCTAATATCAGACTGCAGGAGCACAGATTATTTGGATTCTGCATTGTTACGACTCCAGACTGAAATTCAATAAAAGGATTTTATCTATGCTTTTTATCTTCATTATATTATAAAATTGAGAATGGAAATGGGGAATGTGTCAAAGAGACAACAACCCGACCAAAGAGCAGAAAACAGCCGAAGGCCACCAATGGGTCTTCAATACAGCGAGAAAATCCCACACCTGGAAGCGTGCTTCAGCTGGCCCCTAAACAAAAATGTATACTAGTTCAGTGATAATGGACGCCATACTAAACTCCGAAATATATAAAAGAAACTAAAATTAAAAATAACACAGACTAACAAAGGACAGAGGCTACTGACTTGGGACAGGCGCAAAAATGCGGCGGGGTTAAACATGTTTTTTGAGATCTCAACCCTCCCCCTATATCTCTAGCCAATGTCGAAAAAACAAACACACAACAATAC